CCCTATAATAAAGGGGACAATCCAGTAAGAAGATACAACAATTGTAAATATTTATGCCCCAACATGGAAGCTCTCAAATATATAAAACAATTAATAACAAACATAAAGGAATTAATTGATAATAATACAATAGTTGGGGACTTTAACAGCCCACTTACATCAATGCACAGATCATCTAAGCAAAAATCAACAAGGAAACCATGGCTTTGAATGACACACTGGACCAGATGGACTTAACAGATATTTTCCGAATATTCCATCCTAAAACAGCAGAATACACATTCTTTACAAGTGCACACAGAATGTTCTCTTGACTAGATCACATATTAGGTCACAAATCAGCCCTCAACAAATATAAAAAGACTGAGATCATACCACACATATTTTCTGACCACAACACTATGAAACTTGAAGTCATTCACAAGAAAAAATTTGGAAAGACCACAAGTACACATAGGTTAAATAACATGCTACTTAACAATGAAAGGGTCAACAAGGAAATAAAGAAGAAGTTAAAAAAAATCCACGGAAACAAATGAAAATGAAAACACAACAGTTCAAAACCTCTGGGATGCAACAAAAGTGGTCGTAAGGGGGAAGTATATAGCAATAGAGGCCTACATCAAGAAGAAAGGAAAAAAAAAAAAAAAAGAGAAAAATCTCAAATAAACAATCTAACCTTACATCTAAAGGAGGTAGAAAAAGAACAACAAACGAAGCCTAAAGCTAGCAGAAAGAACAAAGATTAAAGCAGAAATAAATGATATAGAAACTAAAAACAAAAAACAAAACAAAACAAAAAAACCAATAGAACAAATCAATGAAACCAGGAGCTAGTTCTTTGAAAAAATAAAATTGAATAAACCTCCAGCCAGACTTATCAAAAAGGAAAGGGAAAGGACCCAAATAAATAAAATCACAAATGAGAGAGGAGAAATATCAACCAACACCACAGAAATACAAACAATTATAAGAGAATATTATGACAAAGTATATGCCAACAAACTGGACAATCGGGAAGAAATGGATAAATTCCTAGAAACATACAAACTACCAAAACTGAAACAGGAAGAAATAAAAACTTGAACACACCAATAACCAGCAAAGAAATTAAATCAGCAATCAAAAATCTCCCCACAAACAAAAGTCCAGGGCCAGATGGCTTCACAGGGGAATCCTACCATACATTTAAAGAAGAGGTAATATCTATTCTTCTCAAACTATTTCAAAAAATTAAAAAGGAAGGGAAACTTCCAAATTCATTCTATGAGGACAACATTACCCTATACCAAAACCAGACAAAAGACTCCACTAAAAAAGAAAACTACATCCCTGATGAACATGGATGTGAAAATTCTCAATAAAACACTAGCAAATCGGATCCAATAGTACATTAAAAGAATCATTCACCATAATCAAGTGGAATTTATTCCTGGGCTCCAAGGGTGATTAAATAGTCACAAATCAATGTGATATACCGCATTAATACAAGAAAAGATAAGAACCATACAACCCTTTCAATAGATGCAGAAAAAGCATTTGACAAAGTACAATATCCATTCTTAATTAAAAAAAAAAAAACCTGAAAAAAATAGGTTTAGAGAGAATACCTCAATATAATAAAGGGCATATACAAAAAGCCCACAGCTAATATCATCCTCAATGAGGAAAAGTTGAGAGCTTTTCCCCTATGGTCAGGAACAAGACAGGGATGTCCACTCTCACCATTGTTATTTAACATAGTACTGGAAGTCCTAACCTCAACAATCAGACAACAAAAAGAAATAAGAGGCATCCAAATCGACAAGGAAGAAGTCAAACTTTCACTATTTGCAGATGACATGATACTATTTTCACTATTTGCAGATGACACGATACTCTATATAGGAAATCCAAAAACAAAATCCACCAAAAAACTGCTACAACTGATAAACAAATTCAGTAAAGTCACCGGATTCAAAAAAACAGAATCTGCTGCATTCTATATGCCAATAATGAAGCAGCGGGAATCAATCTCATTTACAAGTGCACCAAAAATAATAAGATACCTAGGAATAAACATAACCAAAGAGGTGAAAGACCTGTACTCTGAAAACTAGAAAACACTGATGAAAGAAATTGATGAGGACACAAAGAAATGGAAAGACTTTCCATGCTCATAGGTTGGAAGAACAAATACTGTTAAAATGTCAATACTACCCAAAGCAATCTACACATTTAAGGCAATCCCTAGCAAAAAACCACCAACATTTTTCACAGAGCTAGAACAAACAATCCTAAAATGTATATGGAACCACAAAAGACGCTGAGTAGACCAAGCAACCTTGAAAAAGAAAAGCAAAGATGGAAGCATCAGAATTCCGGACTTCAAGTTAAATTACAAAGCTGCAGTAATCAAAACAGTATGGTACTGGCACAAAAACAGACACCAAGATCAATGGAACAGAACAGAAAACCCAAAAATGGACCCACAATTATATGGTCAATTAACCTTAGGCAAAGCAGGAAAGCATATCCAATGGGAAAAAGACGATCTTTTCAACAAATCGCGTTGGGGAAACTGGACAGCAACATGCAAAAGAATGAAACGGAACCACTTTCTTACATCATACACAAAAACAAATCCAAAATGGATGAAAGACCTAAATGTGAGAGAGCAAAGCGTCAAAATCCTAGAGAAGAACACAGGCAGTAACCTCTTTGACAGTGGCTGTAGCGACTTCTTTCTAGACAGGTCTCCGAAGGTAAAGGAAACAAAAGCAAAAAATAAACTACTGGGATTACATCAAAATAAAAAGCTCTGCGCAGCAAAGAAAACAATCAACAAAACTGAAAGGCAACCTATAGAATGGTAGAAGATATTTGCAAATTACGTATCTGATAAAGGGTTAATATCCAAAATAAATGAAGAACTTCTACAAATCAACCCCCAACAACAAATAATGCAGTTAAGAGATGGGTCGAAGACATGAGCATACAAGTCTCCAAATAAGGCAGTCAGATGGCCAACAGACACACGGAAAGAGGCTCAACAACACTTATCATCAGGGAAATGCAAATCAAAACCACAATGAGATACCACCTCCCATCTATCAAAATGGCTAAAATCAACGGCAGAAGAAACAACAATTGTTGGCAAAGATATGAAGAAAAGGGAACCCCCTTACACTGCTGGTGGGAATACAGACTGGTGCATCCAAGGTACAAAATGTAAGGAGGTTCCTCAAAAAGTTCTAAAAAGAACTACCCCACGATCCAGCAATTGCACGTCTACGTATTTACCCAAAGGATATAAAAATACTGATTCGAAGGGATACATGCACCCCGATGTTTACAGTACCATTATCTACAACAACCAAATCATGGAAACCCCTCGACTGATGAATGGATAAGGAAGATGTAGTATACGGATACACGATGGAATATTACTCAACCATAAAAAAGGAATAAAATCTTGCCATTTGCAACGACATGAGTGCAGTTAGAGTCTTACGCTAAGTGAAGCAAGTTAGTCACAGAAAGGCAAATACCATGTTATTTCACTCCTGTGTGGAGTCTAAGACACAAGCAAAGGAAAAGAGAGAGGCAAACCAAGAAACAGACTCTCAACTATAGAGAAAAAAACTGATGGTTACTAGAATGGAGGTAGTGGAGGGATGGGTGGAATAAGAGGTGGGGATTAAGGAGGGCACTTGTGTTTTTTTAACCCTTCCTTCCTTCCTTCCTCCCTCCCTCCCTTTCTTTTTTTGCGGGGCGGGGGGAGCAGAGAGACAGAGAGAGAGAGAGACAGACAGAGAGAGAGAATCTCAAGCAGGCTCCAAGCACAGCTCAGAGCCCGAGACAGGCTGGATCCCACCACCCTGGGATCATGGCCTGAGCGGCAACCAAGGGTCAGACGCTCAACCGACAGAACCACCAAGCCGCCCCCAAGGAGGGCACTTGTGATGACCATCAGGTGTTGGATGTCAAATCACTACATTGTACACCTGAAACTAGTATTACACTGTTAACGAACTGGAATATAAATAAAAACTTTTAAAAAAGTAAGTACAATCCTTATTACTCGTGCCCAAGTACTCCCCCATCCCTTCCTGTATTTAAACAAAAGTCAGGGCATGTTCCTGGTAGAATTTGCAGATGCGTAAAGGAAACATCTTCTCCCCTGAGAGGAGATAACCTAAGAGGAAGAAAGATGCTAAGTCCTACTCAGGTGAGGCTCTTCTTCCAGGAGCCAAAGCGTCATTCCCCCCTCCCAGCAGCCTTTTTCAACGATGTCCAGGCTGGGGAAGGAAAGGAGGCTCAGAGAAATCACAACTTCATCAGAACTCCCATGTACATTACAGTGGACGGTGCAGACAACATCCGGGAATAACCCCTACAAAAACCTACATTTAGATTGAAAAAAAACCACACAATTAGGAATCTGGGTGCAGCTTCGCTTTCTTCAGGGATCTGAGAAAGGCCAGGAGCCAGAACTCTGACCCCATCCCAGGTTCACAGAAGCTTTCAGGGGACTGAGAAATTAAAAGGTACTGCTAACAGGGGCCTTTTTTTTTTTTTTTTTTTTTTTTAACCCCAAGCCAGGCTCTAAGTCCTCCACTTCTCCATCCTCCCTTAACTCGCAAAATAACTCTATTAGGTAGACGCTAATATCCACTTGAAGAAGAGGAAAGAGAGGCAGAGACGCACAGAAATTCTCCGAATATGCCACCGCTGGGATGCGGCAGCATTGGCTGGTGGTCGGGGAAAGGGCGGGGAGGCGCAGAGCCAGGAGGAGACCCTCACGCCCGGCCAGGTGGGAGCCTGGCCCGACCCCGAGCCGGGGATGCGCCCACCGCCCCGCAATCCACAGAGCTCATTCAAAGGGAACACCAACCCCGCCCTTGGCCGCAGGCGGCTTCTCTTCCCCAGCGTCCAGAGCCTGGTCACCGTGGGCCAAGGCAATGGGAAGCCAGGTCAGTGCGGCCGCGGGGAGGGCCCCCGGGGAGGCAGGGGCTCACCTTTCGCGGAGGAACGAAGGCCGCGGCCTCGCGTACCTGGAGCGGAAGCGACTCAGCCTACAGAAGCCCCCCGCCCTGGACTACGCTTCCCAGAATTCCCGGCGGGAGCAGGGACGCCGCCTTGGCCGCCTGCGGCGGAAGTTATCCAGCCTCACTGAGTTCCGGGACTACACTTCCCAGAATTCCCAGGCCACCTCGTCGCCTTCCTGGGGTGGACGTGTCGGCTGTCGCAGCGAGAGGCTGGATTGTATTTCGGAGCCTGCGGGTCGGAGCGAGTTCCGTAACCCCGAAATGCTGATGTACTTCTGTATTATCTCCAGCCAACCATGCAAGCGAGGCGTCTTTCGGGAGCGTGATGCGTCTGACCTTGTGCATCGGTGGACTGCAAATCCCGGAACCTCCTGCGCAGTGGCCTTTCCTCAAGGCTCTCCTCTCTCTTTGGGATAGTCAGTATTTGGACAGGCGGTATTCTCTTTTGGATAGTCAGTACGAGTTAATTCTATACCGTTAGTGGAGCTTGGCCGCCCCCTCCCCCGTCGTTTTCTTGAAAAAATTTTTTTCTTCCAAACTAAGTGACAAAAACTAAGAAAAAACTCAACCAAAGCAAACTATGGAGCTGTTCTAAGAAGCTACCTCCTAGAGACCAGTGAACTGGAGAAAGAGTAGAGGGGAGGGGATTATGGAAAGGAAGGGATGGCGGGGTGGGGGTGGGGGTGGGGAGCGGAATGCAGATACTGAAAGGACATTGTGCTGACCTATACAGAGTATTGAATTTGACAAATAGAGTCTCAACCTTACTTTGACTGGATTGCCTTTTTTAGTTTATATGGGCGTGCGTGCGTCTAGAACCGACAGTGCTACCTACCCTGAAGTGTTCATCGCAAGATCCACAAGAATGGACGTGGATGCCAAGAATCCACAAGCAGCAGATGCAACCATTGATTGATCAGGCCATAAAGCAGAAGCAACAAATGTTTTCCACATTTCCTTGGCTTTAATTGCTGATTATGAAACGTGAGTCATAAGGCAAATGGGAGGAGCTATACTGACAGAGACAAACGTTGGAAACCTTTATAGAATCTTGAAGTATTTTTCTTCTTTAAGCTTCTAGTATCACATCGCTGATCTTCTCCCTGCTCTAGACATAAAAACTTTTAAGTTGCCTTATGGAGGACGTGATTCAGAGAGGACAGGAGATGAAATAATGGCTTAATCCAGAAAAATCTGCAAAGACTGGGGCGCCTGGGTGGCGCAGTCGGTTAAGCGTCCGACTTCAGCCAGGTCACGATCTCGCGGTCCGTGAGTTCGAGCCCCGCGTCAGGCTCTGGGCGGATGGCTCGGAGCCTGGAGCCTATTTCCGATTCTGTGTCTCCCTCTCTCTCTGCCCCTCCCCCGTTCATGCTCTGTCTCTCTCTGTCCCAAAAATAAATAAAAACGTTGAAAAAAAAATTAAAAAAAAATCTGCAAAGAGAGAAAAGAGAAGAAAAAGTTTGGTTGCTCAGTTTTCTCCTGGGGAATAAATATATTATCGTTTTCCTCTATGCTGGAATATTAATTGTATTCAATGCTATGTCACTTGAGCCTCTTATAACCTAGAACAGCTCCCCTTCTTTTGCGTGTGCCCTTGACCTGCTGAAATAAGTAATTCGGTTGGCATGTAGGATTGCTCACATTCTGGATTTGTCTAATGACTCTTCTGGCATGCGTTGTCCTGATGCCAACGTTTTCTGTAAAGTAGAAGTTAAGGCCTAGATTTTTGGCAATAAGTACAGTGTGGTGCTGAAAAACAGCTGAATGAGGTCAAATACAATGTCCGACTGAAACTATCTCAAATGTTGGGCAAGTACTGTCACTGAGGAGTGAAGGAAAAACGACAGGACAGGTGTAGATACCAAATGAAGACACCTTTTACAATCTGTGTAAGCAAGAAAGAGAGTTTTGTTTCAGCCCAAGTTAGGACAGCTGCCCGGGAAACACTCTTCACAGGGAAGAATGTGTTCTAGAGAATGAACAGTTTTCAAAGGATCGTATCCCTTTTTTTACATCTTATAAAAGCTCAACAGGTTCTAGATTAACATGTATGCAGGGGTCACAAGTCTTAACATCAAGGAATGCAGGGAGAAGGAGCACTGCTGGCTATCTTAAGGACAAGATGGTTTTCCGTTACGCTACTCACTTACAGAGCAGGTGCACAATGTATGCTTGGTGGGCCGTAAATCAGGCTTTTGGTTTAGACAAAGTTTATGTACAATCAAGCTGACTTCGATAGAAATCTAAAATGGCTTCCCTTATATCTCAGGCCTTTAGAGAGTTTTTTTTTTTTTTTTTTTCTTTCTCTCATCACATCTGTTATGTGAAAATGGTCTGTGGTTCATAAGGACCAGAATCGATGTAAGAAATCATGCGGGGTACCGAATTAACAACACAGGAAACAACAGGTGTCGGTGAGGATGTGGAGAGAGGAACCCTCTTACAATGTGGGTGGGAATGTAAACTGGTGCAGCCACTCTGGAAAACAGTATGGAGGTTCCTAAAAAAAAGTTAGAAATAGAACTACCCTGTAATCCAGCAATTGCCCTACTAGGTGTTTCCCCAAAGGATACAAAAATACCGATTCAAAGGGATACATACACCCCAATATTTATAGCAGCACTATCAACAACAGACAAGTTATGCAAAGAGCTCAAATGTCCATCAACTGTTGAGTGGATAAAGAAGTTGTGGCATATACATACAATGGAATATAACTCAGCCATCAAAAAGAATGAAATCTGGCCATTTGTAATAACGTGGAGCTAGAGTGTATTATGCTAAGCGAAATAAGCCAGTCAGAGAAAGACAGATACTATATGATTTCACTCATACGTGGAATTTAAGAAACAGATGAACATGGGAAAAGAGAAAGGCAAACCGTAAAACATTCTTAACTACAGACAACAAACTGATGGCTACTAAAGGGGAGGTAGGCGGGGGATGGGTTAAATGGGTGATGGGTATTAAGGAGGGCACTTGTGATGAGCACTGGGTGTTGTATGTAAGTGATTAATCACTAAATCCTATACCTGAAGCTAATATTACACTGTATGTTAACTAACGTGGTTTTTTTTTAAACATTTATTTATTTTTGAGACAGAGAGCATGAACGGGGGAGGGTCAGAGAGAGAGGGAGACACAGAATCTGAAACAGGCTCCAGGCTCCGAGCAGTCAGCACAGAGCCCGACACGGGGCTCGAACTCACGGACCGCGAGATCATGACCTGAGCCGAAGTCAGACACTTAACCGACTGAGCCACCCAGGCGCCCCAACTAACCGGCGTTTAAATAAAAACTTCGAAGATTAAAAAAAATAATAATACCATGTAATTCCTAATTTAACAACCCCTCCCAAAAAGACAATGTGTTAAAAAATACCTAATAGTTTGTATATTAAGGAGGATCAATCTGATAATAGGTGAATTTTCTGGATAAAACGACAGGGAAATTTTAAAATGCGATAGACAAATTTTTTTTTTAATTTATTTTTCAACATTTATTTATTTTTGCGACAGAGAGAGACAGAGCATGAACGGGGGAGGGGCAGAGAGAGAGGGAGACACAGAATCGGAAACAGGCTCCAGGCTCTGAGCCATCAGCCCAGAGCCTGACGCAGGGCTCGAACTCATGAACCATGAGATCATGACCTGGCTGAAGTCGGACGCCCAACCGACTGCGCCACCCAGGCGCCCCTAGACAAATTTTTAATATACTTCCACTCCCTGTAATAATAAAACAGGTCATTTGAATAAACTTCTGGCAGATGATGGGTAGATAACATTTTTTATTGAATTTTTTTTAACGTTTATTTATTATTGAGAGACAGACACAGAGCGTGAGCAGGGGAGGGGCAGACAGAGGGGGAGACAGACTCTGGAGCAGGGTCCAGGCTCTGAGCTGTCAGCACAGAGCCCAACGCGGGGCTCGAACCCACGAACCGTGAGATCATGACCTGAGCCGAAGTCAGTCGCCTAACCAACCGAGCCACCCAGGCGCCCCTAGATACATTTTTAAAGCTGTCAAGAGGCATCGAAAGACAAGGTGATGGAGAATTCGTGGGCTAACATTCAGAGAAAGTGAGGGAGTCATGCGCTTGTGGTGACTTTTCTCGTGGGGTGATAGCTGAAAAGCCTGGAAGGTCTGCAGCATTTTTGACACCCATTTGAGGGTAAGGGGAACAAAAGGTTCTGGCAAACGCTCCAAAATACACATCTTTTCAAGCACACATAAAATATTTACAAAAAGGGATCACATGACGGGCCCTAAAGGAATAGCAACAAATTTCACAATGCTGAGATAATACCGGATGTGCTTTCTGAATGTAATGAACTTCAGCCAGAACTCAATAACAAGAAAAGATTATTTTAAAACTCCCATGTGTGTTCTAATATAGTACCGTCCCTCAGCTCCCAAACCACCCTTCTTTACCCTGTTTTATGGCGCTGGGATGGAGGCTTTGCAGCCTATCCTTCTGCTTTGACATCTGGTTCCGTGTCAGTCTCTGCCGACCGAAGGAGACTGCAAGGCTGGAGAAGGAAGAGACTTGCGACTTCTTCTGGGCTTCCAGGAACAGCACTGCCTTCTAGTAGCAGCTGCTCGCTCTAATTTGCACCTTTTCCAACACCTGAAAACCAGTTTCATGGCTCCTCGCAGACACTATCAAACAGCCTCTCACATCCTGCTCCTCAGAGGTCTAAGTCCTAGAACTACAGCACTCTTCCTCTGACGGAGCTCGGGAACCAGAGCCAGCTGAACACTCCTCCCGCCCTGGCGGTTTGAGTTTCAAGATATCAGGACCTTCCTCCAAGCTTGTCAGTTTTAATAATCCCTGTCTCTTCACTTTGTCACCCCAGACCTGGGGGTCGTTGCTGATTGCTGTGCTTGTTATCTGCACCACGCCTTAGAATCCTCTGTTCTTGGGGCGCCCGGGTGGCTCAGTCAGTTGAGCGTCCAACTTCGGCTCAGGTCATGATCTCGCGGTCTGTGGGTTAAAGCCCTGTGTTGGGCTCTGTGCTGACAGCTCAGAGCCTGGAGCCCATTTCAGATTCTGTGTCTCCCTCTCTCTCT